CCCGGCAGCCCCACCCAAAACATACCTTTTGTTCAAGATGCGCCCTGCGCAGCGACACCCGTTGCTCCAGCTTCTGGAGTTCTCTTTCATGCTGTGCTTCTGTCTGCATCTTAATTTTGCTCTGGTATGCGTTGAGCAGCTCCATCTCCTGCTGGAGTTGCAGTCTCAGGGCTTGGCATTCTGCTTCTTGGGCCTCGTCCAGCCGTAGCTGTAAGATCATTGGGAAAACAACATTCAAACCTCCGCTAGCAATTTCTCTGCTCCGACACTACTGACGCGCCGTACTCCCTTCTCAAAGCCGGGGAGCCTTTGGTGCTGGTGGCAGAACGAGAAAGCAGGAAGGGCTTCATAAAACAGCTGCTTCCCCACTCACACAGAGGCAGAAGCCTCAGAGAAAATCCAATTCTAAAACCCAGCACGCGAGGGGCAGCGGGGAAAGGATGCGTGTTCTGCGGGATGCTTATTACAGAGGGGAAGTGCCGCCTGATGCGTTGTTTAAAACCGTTGTTACAAACACAACGGCATCGCTCACCATCCAGCGGCTAGGACAGGAAGAACGCAGCGTGCTGCAAGGACTGATGGCCCGACTGTACCCCACCTCCACTCACCTCGGTGAGGGACCCCCTGCCCAGGGACAGGAGGTGCCGGACGCTGCACCTACCGCTTGCGAGGCCATCATCTCGTTGATGCTCTGCTCATACTGCTCTGCCAGGATGGCGAGCTTCCTCGTCTGCTCGTCCTTCAGACTCTTCAAAATTGTCTTGTGCTCACTCTTTGGAGTTACTTCCAGCTGGTGATTCTTCAGTGCTTTGTACTGCTTAGTTTGCACTTTGCATGTGTCCTGGAACTGCTTTTTGATCTGCATTTCCATAGCCTGCCAAGGAAGGAACGGTGTGAAGAGCACGAAGAGCTCTGGGAATGGAGAGGTTATGGTACATCCAAATGGGCGGGTTGGTGAGAGACAACCACAGTTCCCCTTGTGCTCTGCGCTGTCTCCTGCCCCTGTACCCGGGTAAGCAGGGTGTGCTTCACACACACAGCGATCTAACGAGCAGCATCAGCTCAGGCCCTGCTTCAGCACTGACCACGGGCCTGGGCCAGGAACAGGATCCACTGAGCCCTCCACAGCCCGGGGCATTTCCATCTTCTACCCCTGCTTCCTGCAGGTCACCCAGCCCATCACCCTGCCGCCTGCCTCCCAAAAAGCGTTTGCTTTTTCAAGGCCTCCCATTTTGCTACCTCACCGAGGCCTCCACAAGCTGCCTCCCCCGCCTCGACCACGTGCTACGTGGAGACTGCAGATGTGAGAACTAGCGAGGGTGTGACAAAGTGAATAAAAGCAACGTGCCTTTTTGGACGTTCAGAGGAGGAACACAAATCTCTGACAACAAGCAGCTCAGAGGTTTCTAATCAACCTGCAGCCAAACTGGGGCAGAGCACAGTGCTCAGCACACCCATGTTCTCTCTCTGTTGACTTTGAAAGCGAGGAAGCATCACCCAACCCCTTTCCAAATCGAGGTTTATAGGCTGACACCAGCAGGGGTCTGAAGCAAGCACAGCTCATCAGAAGCAAATTCTGTAACACTTTGCTAAGGACTAGCCTATTTTTACCCAGCAGCCTCAATTAGCACCGCACTTAAAGAAATCCTTAGTGAGCTCTTTGCTATAACAGCCCGCAACTTTCTTACACCAGAGCAGCCCTGGGCAAAGGAAAGGGATGCAAGGGAGAGCACGCAGTGCTGGTGGAGAACGGCGGTTCTGCAGCACGGATGCTGCACAGAGGAGGCAGCAAGCACACAGACCAGCCTGCCCGGCAGGACAGAGGTTGGAAGAGGAGGAAGGAAAGCTTCCAGCACCTTCAGGTTCTTTGGTTGCTGCCGGAGCTCCATGAAATGCTTCCTGTGCAGCTCCCGCTCTCGCCGCTTGTTGTATTCCAGCTGGTTCTCGAGCTCAGTCTGGTGCT